AAGTATCTTAGTTGACTGAGTTTTATTAGTTAAATTGGTCATATTGTTCTTCAGATTTCCAACCTCTTTCCTGAGAATTGTGGTTTCAGTCTGAAAAGAGATTGTACCATTTCTAAAAAATGCCTGATTCTTAGCCCTATTGTCAAACCATATTTTTAAGAAAAAAAATATTGAGTACAAGACTAATCCCCAGAAACAAAATTAACAATATAGAAAGGACATTATATAAGTCTTGTAAAAACTCATACATGGTATAAGTAAAGGGGCTATTGAAACCTTGGATTATTAGATTGTCTGACATATTGTCCTTTTAAATTAGGAACTTATGATCTATAATTAGGATATTAAATCTTATCTGTGGTTTGATAAGCTGGATTAGGTGCAATAACCATAACCTGCCAATAAGAGTTGCGGGCCACCTACAAAACTAACCCAGCAGGGCATTGTGGTGCATGTGAATTCACCCATGGCTGGTCTGAAATCTGACTTTAGAGCAAAATGCTGAAAGATAAATCACAGACTGTGTGCTCTGCAGATGTCTCTAGAGCAATGGAATAGGCAACTGCATACAAATCATTAGAACACCGCAGAACAGCTGGCTTAGACGGGGGAAGCCCAAGTCTCACCAAAATGTCTGCAGTGCACTCTGATGAGAGGTAAACAGTAGGGTGTGTGGGGATTTGAAGCCAATCCGAGGTGTGTAAAGAAAAAATATAAAGAACTGCAACTGATCCATAGCAAGAAAGGCCACTGCAAGATTCTATAGTGAACTGCTGGCTCCACGCACAGGCTTCACCCAAGCCAGGCACACTTCAAGTTGGTGGCGGGCAGCAGAGCCAGGGGATTCTAAAACCAAATATTGGGCACCAATTGATGCCATAAAACAATCTCACACCAGTTCATAATTAGGATAATAAAAGGGTTATTTATTTAAAGTGAAAACTTACAGATCACTGTCCTAAACAACAGTCCTCTGAGTGCAAACAGGAACAGAGTCCAGTTGCCAGAACAGGAGCTGGAAGCAAGAGATTGGGTGCACGGTTCCTGCTGCTTTTTAAACTATAAGAGGCCACACCCAAGTGGGCTGGTATCTTTAAGGCTATTGGCTGAAGGAACAGAATGTGCTCCCACAGCAAGATAATAGCCTCTGTGCTTTATGTCTGAAGCACATGGTATCATCAGCAATAGGAACTCAACTTCCACCTTTGGTACTCAGTCAAGTGCAATGGTAATGGCCTATAATGTTTTTGGAGTCTCTTGGACAACCCCAACCAACAACTCAAAAGAGAGTTTCTCATGTCTAATATTGTTTTTTGTTATACCGTCTCTGGCTCTTGGATGGAGCATTGTCAACCCAGATGACAAATTTCACTTAAATTATATATGTATTTTTAAATAGAGACATGTATTACAGTGGTTTTTGGGGGGAGGAATCAATATTATCAATCCTTATGACTTTTTCATTCTTAATGTTTTTTAACCATCTTCTCTCCTGCTTTTGTATTTATCTCCCCACTCCCTAATTAGAAGTCCCCATTTCTATTGTTTCCCAATCCCCTACTCTGATAACAGTCACCTGATGTGGGATTCCCCTCTGTATGCTGTAAATATTCCTTATTACTATTGGTTAATAAAGAAGCTGCTTTGGCCTATGGAAGGGCAGAATACAGCTAGTCAAGAAAATAAAACTAAATGCAGGGAGAAAGAAGGAGGAAGCTGGCAGATGCCACGTAGCCATGCAAGAAGCAAGATGTGAGGTAACAAGCCACAAGCCTCGTGGTAAAATACAAAATAACAAAAATTGGTTAATTTAAGATGTAAGAGTTAGTTAATAAGAAACCTGAGTTAATAGGCCAAAGAGTAAGTAATTGCTATTAAGCCTCAGAGTGGTTATTTTATAAGGGTTTTGAGAGCAGGTGGGCAGAGAAAATCTGGTCTAGGGGGACCAGTGGAACAGTCACCTTTTAATTTCTTAATCTGTGCAGTTTCTCCTAGCCATGTACTGACATTGGAAGATTTGGAGCTAGGCACCTCCAACGGGAGGAAATATGTGACATTTATCTTCCTGGGTCTGCGTTACCTCACTCGATATGATTTTTTTAACTTCTATCCAATTACCTGCAAAGTTTGTGGTTTCACTTTTCTTTACAGTTGAAAATGTATGTGTACCACATTTTCCTCATCCATTGTAAATATCCATTGTAGGATATTTAAGTTGTTTTCATTTCCTAGCTATTGTAGATAGAGCAGCAATGAACATGACTGAGCAATCTTCTGTGAAGTAGTCTGTCCAGTCCTATGGGACATGTGTAAAGGAGTGGTTTAGTTATATCACATAGTAGGTTTATTTTAAGATTTTTGAGACTTCTTCAGATTTATTGTCATAGTTAGTGGCTGCACCAGTTTTCAGTCCCACCAACAATGAATAAGAATTAGCTTTCCCCACACCTCCTTCAGGAACTGTTATTGGTTGTTCTACTTATCTTTGTCACTCTGACTGGGGTAAGATGCAATCTCAAAGTTGTCTTAATTTGCTTTTTTCCTTATTGCTAGAAATGATGAACAGTTTTTGAAATATTTCCTAGCCATTTTTCTGCTTTGGAGAACTCTCTGTTGAAGTCCTGGATCTATTTTTTGAGTGGATAGTTTGTTTTCCTTGATTCTGAGTTCTTTGTACATTATTATTAATCCTCTGTCAGATGGATAGCAGGAAAAGATTCTCTCCCATTCTATGGGCTTCTTTACCAGGTTGATTGTTTACTTAGCTTTGGAGAACTATTTAGTTCTTTGAAACCCCAATTTGTCACCTGCTGGCTTCAGTTCTTGGGAAAATGGAGTCAGGAAGTCCTTTTCTATACCTATATCATGTAGAGTAATGCCTATATTTCCTTCTAGCATTTTCATCATTTAGGGTTTTATGTTTAGGTCTTTGACCAATTTGGAGTTGTTTTTTATGCCAAGTTATAGTTAAGAGTCTAGTTTCATTCTTATGTATGTGGACATCCAGTTTCCCTGCACCATTTGATGAAGATGCTTCCTTTTCTCTGGTGTATATTTTTGGCATCTTTGTCAAACATCAGATGGTTGAGATAATGTGTACTCAAGTTTGTGTCTTCAATTTTGTTCCGTTGATCTACAAGTTTGCTTTTGTGTCAGGAACATTTAGATTTTATTACTATGGTTATGTAATTTATCTTAGGATCTGAACTGGTAATCCTCTCAATATTATTTGTTTTGTTCAAGATTGTTTTGTTGATTGAGGGTTTTGTGTAGTTCCATATGAATTTTAAAATACGTTCTTTTTCTTCAAATAATGAGATGGGGATTTTGATTAGGATCACATTAAATTTGTAAATAACTTTGGTTAAAATAGTCATTTTCACAATATTAGTTCTACCAACCCATGAGCATGGGGTGTCTTTCCATTTTCTAGTGTCTTTATTTCCTTCTTTAGAGGTGAAAAATTGTCATTGTAGAGATCCTTCACTTGCTTGGTATGATGGCTCTTCTTGGTTTTCAACTTGAGTACATTTAGAATTAACTAAAACTCAAATGACTGGGCATACATGTGAAGGATTTTTCTTAATTAAATCATTAATCATGGACCTGGAGGGAGGGGGGAGGAATTTGAACTTCCCACAGGGCAGGAAACCCTGACTGCTTTTAGGGATGGAGAGGGAGGAGGGGAAGTGGGGGGAGTGGGAGGGTGTTGGGAGGAGGAGCGGAAATGGAAACTTTTATAATTTAATAAATTTCAGACAGTTGAAAAAATAAAAAAATAAATCATTAATCATTAATTAATTATTAATTAATCATTGAATAATTAATTAATCATTAATCTTAAATTAATCATTTGAAACAGGAAGAGACACTTCTAATCTGGATATTTGAGGTGGGAAGATATACCTTTAATACAAATTTTTTGAGGTAGTAAGATTCACCTTTTAACTGGGCCATATCTTCTGATGGATGCCTACATAAGCCACATGGAAGAAGGAAGCTTTTTCTCTCTGCCTGCTTGTCCTTACTCTCCCTAGCAAGTCCATTCCTTCACTGGCATTAAAGCTTACTTCTTTTGGAATTCTGCTATATACTGAAGACCAGCTAAGATAGCCAACCTCATGAACTGAACAGCTACTAGATTCTTGTACCTTCTCTTGGTTAAACAGCCATTTTGGCCTAGCTGGACTACAGCCTATAAGCCATTCTAATAAACCATATTCCATAATTAATTAATTTGTGCTAGTTTATTCTGTATCCTTCCACATCTCTTAATTTACTTAACATTTCTAGAAGCTTACTGGTATAATTTCAGGAATCTCTAATGTATAGTAACATATCATTTGCAAACAGGGATAGTTTGACTACTTACCTGTTTACATCCCTTTCATTTATTTTTCATGCCTTATTTCTCCAGCTAGTACTTCAAGCCAAATATTGAAAAGGAATATGGAGAGTGGAACATCTCTGACTTGACTGGGAATTGCTTCAAGATTGTATTCATTTAGGATGACAATTATGTCTGCTCAATTCAAAGGCCAGAGTAACATTCTTTTCCCCGATGATCATTGCTGCAATTCACATAACTGTATTTTGCTAATGTTATAGCTAAGATCCCTTAAAGGATGCTATGCTAATTTTACAAGTGGCTCCTCCAATGGAAGAATTGCATATATGGTTAATAATAAAAAGAAATTGTGGAGCGTACCATCACTCCTTGAAAACAACTTATAAAAGTTGCAGACAGATCCTGATGCAAACAGATCTGACGTGATGGGACCAAGGTGACCTTTACTAAGGCAAGGTGAAAAAAAGCCCTTGTAATGAATTATAAAAAGACTCGACATATATATATTTGGGGTCGAGGATGTGTTTGTGCTTTTTTTACAGAAAGAAAATAAAGCTAGACCCGATGATATCATAGCTGCAAACACCCCATACAGGAGTTCGAGAAATGAGTTGGAGAGGAATTCTTGATCCAGTCTTTCTTGTCCCCACAGAGAGGAATGCCTGATCACAGGACCTGCTACCTACACTGTCGAGTGTCATTCTGCCTCCAGAGATTCTGCACAAAGAGATCCCACTAAGAAAATTGCCAAGATGTGCTTCAGGTAGCGAAATCCAGCTCGCCTCACCCAAGAATGCCCTGAGGAACAGATGCTGAGCTGCTTCCAGACTTGGGACATAGATCCAGAGCCATTGCTATGACTACAATTTCTGCAGTTTGAATCCTGTTTGCTTTAGAGCTGAGATGCAGACTAAACATCTGACTGTTTTAATCTTTGGGACACAGAACTTATTTTGATTAAAAGATTAATCCACTTATTATATTATATTATTATTAAGATATTAATTCACTTAAGAAGGTGGCAGACTAAGGGTTTAACTGCTGTTCAGAGACTAAAACTGGTATTTAATAACAACAATGTCATTGTACTCTTACTGGAATTGACCCAATGATATTTGTAACTGCTTATAGATGTTGAAAAAAGTTTGACACACCCTGTAAAATGTTTGGGTTTAATGTATATGTTAAGTGTGGGGGCCAGCCATGATAGTCTAAGTCTGGGCAGGTCACCCAGAGGAAACTCTTTACTTCCAACCATTATCACCTGGGACTCAGGCCATCGATGAATTTAAATGGAGTCTGGAGTCTCAATAGTTTACCCTGAGACAATGCCTGGCTGCAAGAGGAACCACAGTTTGAGATTGCCTGACCCCCACCCAAGAGCAGACCATTCAAAGGAAATGCCTAGCATTCCAAGAGCTGTAGATAGAGACACCTGCCAGTGTACCTCAACAGGACATCCCTAAATAAATGCCAGCCAATCAGGGGCCCTAAACCTCAGAAACCCTTCACCTCTACCTTTACTACCATAAAAACCCTTTTCTAATTGAGCTTGAGGCTTTCCAGATATTCCAATATGTTGAACATGAAAAGAGATCGAGTTGAGTTTGCAAACTTGATTGAAATAAAGGCTCTTTGCTTTTACATATGTGACTTGATTTTCTTTGTTGGCTTTTGTGGGAACCCCATGGATTTGGTCATAATGAAAGACCCCCGAGGGATGTCTTCCTTGCGAGAGAGGCCCCGAACCCACAAACCCGACGAAGCCACACTTACGGATGCAAACAGCAAGAGGTTTATTCGAATACACAGGTACCTGGGGTGACAAGGTCTCTCGGAAGACTTGCACGCCCCCAGGTTGGGGGTGAGGGGTTCTTATAGGAGAGCAAAAGTGCGGGTACAGAAGCAAAAAAAAGCGTGGTTACGGGGATTCATTCCATTGGTCAATTCAAATAAGGCTAAGCTGAGTGGCACATTCTTGACCTTTCACCTAAATACCAAGGAGGGGGTTGTCCAGGAGCTTCCTGTTTCCCTTATCTCTTCCTGCCTTCCTAGCTGGAGACCCACCTGGATACCAAGGTGGGGGTTGTCCAGGGTTTCCCTTATCTCTTCCTGCCTTCCTAGCTGGAGACCCACCTGGATACCAAGGTCTCTTTTCCTTTTCAATAACATTAGGAATTTTAGATTTTGATCCCTTTGCGCTACCTCAAAAGAGGTATGTTGTTTTTATACTGATCATAGTGGGAAGTCAGAGATAGCATGGTTAAGGTCAGAGAAGGATTAGAGCGTAGAAGAAAGCAGAGAGATCAAGAGGAGGGATATTTTCCCCTGGGTTACCACCCTCTTATGCTCCCTTTTGGGACCCCTTTTAGGATTTTTATTATGGATGGCTTTTGGATCATGGGTCCTTAATAGGCTCACTAAGTTTGTTCACCAACAGGTGGACTCTCTGGCATCCAAGCCCATTCAAGTCCATTACCACCAGCTTGATATGGCTGATCGAGGGCTAGAGGAGCCTCTAGTCCTTGAGAGTGAGTCTCCTATAGGAGCCACGTAAAACCCAGAGATATGTGTGTCTGTCCACAACAGGCATGTGCACCAGCAAGGGGTGCAAGGCAAAGCACTGCAGGGAGAAGACCATGCATTCCGTCTCTGGGTCTCCTGAAGAACATGCCTGATTGCATAGAGGTTGATGTCCAGAGGTATTGATATAAAAACCTAGACCCACTTCTCCCCAAAAAGACATCTGTAACTTTGAAAAGAAATTTCCTCCACCAAGATGGAGAAAAATTTCTCCCACCAATTAAATATGGGAGGATCGGGCCTCTGTTCCCCCACACCCACACTGGTTAATGCCCGCTCATCTACCAGATGACCTTTAACTGTCTCATTCTAATACTTAAAAAGGGCGGACATGCCAGAAGCAAAGACTTGTATTTTGTTTATTGCCATCTTAAGCTCACAAGTTAAGTAAAATATTCACCTCTGTCACCTCTGCAGAGCTAGTTCCGGACTAGGAAATTAACCTAGTATCTTGTCTCCCTTCAAGACCTGCAGACACCAGGCTTCAGAAGCAATTAGCATTTCTGTTGTTAGTTAATATCTCTTTCAGCCAGAGAAGTCTCTAGAACTGAATTCCAGCAGACCTGACACCTCCCCTCCCCCTTGCCTGTTTGCTATATAAGAGCTCCTGAGGAATAATAAAATGGACAGCTTGATCAGAAAGGAAGACTTGCTGTCATTTCTTGTGTCTCTTGTCCCATTCATTCCTCCCCTGTAGGGCGAATTCAGTTCTGTTCATGTCCTGCTGGCCAGGACAGTTAGTTTCTAATGATTGCATTACTTCCTCAACGAGATGGAATCTCCATGTAGTTTTTAGATTGTTTTGTTTTGCTATTGTCATAATTTTGTTTTGTTTTGAAATGAGATCTCATTTTTAACTTTATATTCCAGAATGGTCTTGAACTTGCTTTGTTGCCTGCAACTTGTGATTCTCCTGCCTCAGGAATCTGACGACTGGAGTCATAGGCACCAACCCAGATTTAATGTAGTTCTTGTTAGTTAGTTAGGGTTTTTTTGTTTGTTTGTTTGTTTTTGTTTTTTTTCTTGCTTGCTTGTTTGCTTGTTTGTTTGAGACAGGGTCTCACTCTATAGCTTGAGTTAACTTCAAACTCACTACCTAGTCCCACCTGGCCTCAAACCTATGGCTATTCTCCTGCTTTAGATTCTTAAGTGCTAGTATTATAGCAAGAACCACTACCATGTCAGGCTTTTAGAAAATGAACCAAAGATAGAGTTTGTGAAGAGAAGGTTTTAGTGTAAATTTAAGTGCAAGCAAGAGGGGGGGTGGAGGAGAGGGGAGAGAAGGATAAGGAGCTTAAGTATGAGACAATGGTAGATGCCCAAGAGTATCTGTTTGTGTGCGTGTGTGTGCTATATATTATTTAAAAGATTAAGTAGAAATGTTTCTTATATTTATTTTTGTCAAAATAATGTTGCTTTAGTGATGAGATAATACAGTGATTTGTAAGGAGCATGGCACAGGGTTGCAAGCAGAGAGGATTTAAAAAGTCAAGAAAGGCCAAAAGAATTCAGTGTAGACCTGATCTTAGGAAGCGTACATTTTATTTGACACACTTTCAGGCTGCGCTGGGGTTTTGGCATGTCATCTGTCCTAAGTGAGAGAGCAAATTGTCATAAGTAGTCCTACCTGGATTACAGGTTACCTTTCTGAAGGACCTTGAGTAGCTAACACAGAAGCCTGCCTGGAAATAAGAAGCTGATAGGAAAGTGTAGGATCACTTTTCCCAGGGAATTTCTAAAGTTTAATAAGCATTAACTCACTTCATCTCCTTTCCACCCTAGGAGGTAACTGCTATTATTGCCTCCAGCTTGTACATAGGGAAACAGAGGCACAGAGATACTAAATAACCTCCTCACTGTTACAGGTGTGACAGGTGGCTGAGCTAGCACCAATGCTCTCAATTACTTCTGTTTTTATTTTATTTATTTATTAGATTCTTTTAAAAAAATACCAATCCAAATTCCACTCCCTCCCCCCTCCCGTCCCCTCCAAACACACCCCCACTCCACCCCCTCTAATCCTAAGAGATGGTAAGGCACTTTGTTTTATGGAAAGTCTAAGGCCCTCCCTACTATGTCTAGGCTGAGCAAGGTATACATCCAAAAAAAAAAAAAAATAGGATCCCAAGAAGCCAGTACATGCAGTAGAGATAGATCCCAGTGCTACTGCCAGTGGCCCCTCAGTCTGCCCCAGTCATACAATTGTCAGCCACATTCAGAGGGACTAGTTTGGTCCTATGCTTGTTCCTTCCCAGTCCAACTGGAGTTGGTGAGCTCCCATTAGCTCAGGTAAACTGTTTCAGTGGATGAACCCTTCGTGGTCTTGACCTCTTTGCTCATATTCTCATTCCTTCTACTCTTCAACTGGACCTTTGGAGCTCAGTCCAATGCTCTGATGTGGTTCTCTGCCTCTGTTTCCATCTGCTGTTGAACAAAGTTGCTATAGTGATATTTAATATGATCATCAGTCTGACTACAGGGCAAGAACAGTTAGGGCACCCTCTCCTCTATTGCTTAGGGTCTTATCTGGGGTCATCCTTATGGATTTCTGGGAATTTTTCTAGAGCCAGGTTTATTGTTAATCCCATAATGGATCCCTCAACCAAGTTATCTTTTTCCTTGCCCTCATATCTGTCATTCCTCTCTCTCGACTATCCTATTCCCTCAAGTTTTTCATAGCCCTCCCATTCTCTCCTTCCTTCTACTTCCTGTCCCTATACCCCCAATTTTGTCAGGTGATCTTGTCTGTTTCCAATTTCCAGGTAGGTCTATATATGTTTTTCTTTGGGATCACCGTATTGCTTAGCTTCTCTAGGATAATGAACTATAGACTCAATGCCCTTTGTTTATAGCTAGTATCCACTTATGAGTTAGGACATACCATATTCATTTTGTGGGCATCTGGGTTACCTCACTCAGGATAGTGTTTTCTAATTCCATCCATTTGCATGCAAGATTCAAGATGTCATTTTTTTTTACCACTTAGAAGTACTTTAATGTGTAAATGTGCTCAGATGATATGATAGTGTACATAAGTAACACTAAAAACTCCACCAGAGAACTCCGACAGCTGATAAATACCTTTAGTGATGTGGCAGGATACAAGATCAACTCAGAAAAAAAAATCAGTAGCTCTCCTATACAGAAGTGGTAAAGAATCTGAGAGGAAAATCAGAGAAACATCACCTTTTACAATAGCCACAAATAACATAAAATATCTTGAGGTAACACTAACCAGGGAAGTGAAAGACCTATTTTGACAAGAACTTTAAGTCTTTGAAGAAAGAAATTGAAGGAGATACCAGAAAATGGAAATATCTCCCATGCTCTTGGATAGGAAGAATCAACATAGTTAAAATGGCAGTCCTACCAAAAGCAATATATAGATTCAATG